TGTAAGATGAGTAAACAAAACACCTTAATGAAGTTGGAAAACCACATTTTGAAAGTAATTGCTATAAATAAAAATAATTTATATGTGTAAAGTTGCACATACAGTAAGCACTTGCAGATCTATGTATATAGAAAATGGTCTGTTTGGATTTACAGCCTGAGATAGATTTGAACTAAAACCAAGAAAACGTGATGTCTGTTTAGGGAGAATTAATAAACAGAAAATAAGTTTTTTACATTTTTGACACTCATCTTAGTCTTAGAACTAGTGTCAAGTCAGTGCCTAAAAAAATGTCTGTATAAGAAATTATAATGGGCAGTCACTATTTCAAGATCATCTTTTCTACAGAGAATGAAAAAGAAAATTCAAGAGTAAGGAGTACATTTCTAGAGAAGAATGCATTTGACAGGGCCCAGCTCCCAAGTCATGACTTCATGTTCCTTAATCTTGGCAGTAGAATAAAGTCCTTAGCATAAGAACATTTTAAAGTCCAGATACATGACACTTTAGCGTTCTTATCATAACTTTTCTTTTTATGTCTACAGGATTTACAATGTTTGCAGATGGAAGTAATTTAATACCATGGTGATCTTCCATCTAGCCTGTTTTCTTTCAGTGACCTTATATTTACTATAAGAAAACACCAACAAGGTGTATGATTTCTCATGGAAAAAATAGTAACTATTTTAAACAAACAAAACAAAACAAAACAAGAACAAAAACAACAGATTTTATCCAACAGAATCATAATTTTTCCACTATCCCCATGCTTTAAAAAAAATGCTCATTTGTTCTGGGGGAGTGGTTTAGTAGGAGACAGAGCCAGTTTGGCTTTACTGCAAAGGATGCATTTAAAATAAAAGAAAAAATAAAGCAATAGTAGAAACCACAGGTTTTATGTTTTAAATGGAAAGAGATCTAGCTGGAAAAGAGTTGATTACATATATTTCATATCATGACCTCACATTCAACCAACCCTTCCTCACATGCACCCTAAAAACATCCTGCTGTGGTTCCTGGCATCTATGAAAGGTTGGTAGAAAATTGCAAACTAAGCATATGTCCTGAGAGCTTGGACAGAGAAAAATTGAAATAAGATCTCAGAATCCTTTTACCCATCCTGCAGCTGCAGTCCGTAGGAACAACCGCAGGAACCAAACAGAACCAATCTAAACTAAAGGGAACCAATCACAATATTATATTATGCAATTTTAGTAACAAGGTAAGTGTTTTCAGGATATCTCCAGCTTTATTGTTGATAAATAAGAGAGTGCAATACTTTAGAAAAAGGTTTGTCAGCCCCCCCCCCCCTTTTTTTTTTAACTAAATGCCATCACATTCCCACATTTAACATAAAGGCTTTGTGAATGAGACAGGTTGAATACCTACTAATTTTTGTGCATTCAATTACAGGAATTATGCTCAGAAATCCATACTATCAGAGTGGATTGCATTATTGGACAGAGACCTAACTTTATGGCAACCAGGCTGTAAGTATTTCTGATACTACATAGGTCTCTGTAAAATTCAGAAGGTAATTCACTCACAACTTTATAACAAGTTATATTAATGGCAGTATATCATCTTACATCGGCTTCAGTTCTTCCCTGTGGTTTAATTGCTAATAAATTATGAGAGTATTATTATTAATAATAATATATATTATATATATATTATATATGATATATCATGTCATATACACAATATTATATATTATTATATATCATTAATAATAGCATATATATTATTAACAATAATACTAATATTAATAATATTATATTATTACAATATATGTATAGTATAGATTTATAATATATTATTATAATATATTTATTAAATATATATTTAATGTTATATAATATTAATAATATTATTTTTAGGGAAAAGTAAGCTAGATATCACAATTATAAAAAGTAAAGTATTTATGAAAGTATATTGTTCTTTAAAACTCGATTTTCTTCAGAAATATCTATCTCTTTTTTCTCGGTCTTTATTGGCATTGCCTGAAAATGTTCCTGAGGTTTCTGTAGCTTCTGCATCATAAGGCTGAAGCTGATCATGATTCAAATAAGTATACTTCCTTTCTTTCTATTTTTAAAGCCAAATTAAAGATTAGTTTCCACTTACTAAATGCAGTGACATCCATGGATACATTCCCTTTTAAGTCAAGTAGAGAATCAAAGAAGAAATGGTATCCAAACTCAACGTGTTTGCGAAAACATTTGCTATTTCGGGAGAGCTTTCCTTTGAGTAAAATAGTTCAAACTATTAAAAAAAAAAAAAGAAAAAAAAAAAAAAAGATATTTTCATATTTAGGGTATTAATAGTTTTTGACTGTTTTAATTTGTATAGGTCCAGACAGATAGAGAATGTAAATTTAAAATGTCAGAGGAAGAAAAAACAAAACAAAAACAAAACAAAAACAAAAACAAAGCATTCATAGTAGTATAAATAAGAATGAAGAGTACTCAGTGAACTCCAGAAATGTTCTTTTTTAGGAGGTTATGCTAGCTTCCAACTTATTCCACATATCTCCAATGTGGCTTTAAGCACAATGAAAGAATTAGATGGTTTTAACTACCTTTCTCTTCTTTTAACCCCAAAGAGAAGTACAAGCCATGAAAGAACAGGAATCATTAAGACAATGGGATTTCATGGATCTCTTCCCCTAAACAGCATATGAAAGCATAGAAATGGCCCCTGTCCAAGTCCAAGTTGTTTTACTTCTTTTTTTTTTTTTTTTTTTTTTTTTTAACAGCAATAATTGTATGTTCCAACAGGCAGGCAAGTAAAGTATATACTTAATGAGTCTAATTAGTGGAGAATAAATACTGAACTGAGGAGGGACCTGCTCTGAAGCAGATGTTCTTCATTCCAATGACCTTTGAAAGAGTATCCACTTAGACCCAGCATGGAATTTCTATTTTCCTCACAATGTAGAGAAATCATGTGTAGTTTTTTTTTTTTTTTTTTTTTTTTTTTTAACAATTATTAGGATGCTTCCCTGTGTTATATATGGAGTGGTAATTCGTGTCGAGAAAATGGTTGATATTAATAAAGAAGGGGGAGATTTGGGAATGTGGCCATGGGGGTTGGAAAGCCCCATGGTTGAGATAGCATTAGACTCTTAACGATGTGGCCATCAGGAATGTAAAAGAGCTTAGAGGGAACAAAGAAAGGTGATTCAGGAGACTCCATGCAGTCTCGGGTTGCTTGTGCTCCAGCCTTTAAGGCATGGAAGTTTCTGGGTGTTTGCTGTTGCCAGACAAAGTTGTTTGACCAATGAAAAGTTGGTTTTGAAAAGGACTGCTGTGGGGAGAAGGGTAGAAGAGGGGAGGCTGCCCTCAAAATAAAAAAAAAAGGCAGCACGATATAATGAAGTTATGTCATCAATAAAGAAGTAGAAAGAAGGAATGAAAAGGAACAGGCTAGCAGAACAGGGACCAGGACGGGAACAGGGACATTGATCGCCTCATGAAGATAGCTTCAGCCAAAGTCAGCAAACCGCTCGGAGAAGCTTGCACAGAAAGTCGCTGGAAATGGGAGCACCGGTGCTCGGAAGAAGCTCAAGCTGAGAGAAGCGGCCCCGCGCACACAGCTGCCCCTCGCTGGTAAGCAGCTGCACATTGTGGGGAATCATACATGTACGTCCTTAGGAACAAAGACTGTCCTGGTCACCTTGCAACTTATTCTCCTTATTGACAATCGGACAGTTTAGGAGCCCGAAATATGGGACCAAACTGAGGTCAAGGTGTGGGACTCTGCTACTAAAAACGACAAGGTTGCGGTGGGACTGCTCAGCACCTGGCGAGCAATCTCTGAGGCCTTACAGAGCCCTGTGGGACCACAGTCAGAAATGTGTGGTTTGCCAGACAGTGAGGGAGCTGCGGGCTCCTTTACTGATCCTTCTGCTACGCCATGGGCCCCTCTGCTGCTACAGCCATCCAAGGCTTTTGCTGTTACACCCCCTGCTGACCTGGACGTGCCTTTTGACCCAGGCCTTTGACCTATTGGCCTTGAGAAGGAGATGGATATGCTTTTCTTCGATCTGGGAAGAACGACGGGATACAGAAGGCCCAAAGACCGAGTTGCTTGACAACTTAAAGCCAGACATATTGTTCAAAAGGAATGGAAAATGGAGACTTGCATGTAATCAAGAAAAGGAATGGAAGATGGAGACTGTTAAGGCATGGAACTTCAAGGATTCTTTGTTACCTTTCCTGGTTGTGCGTATGTATAGGCATCGTCGGGTTTAGTATGTAAAGCAATGTGCTGTATATTTAGAAAATTGATGTTTGTGTGTGCGTGTTGGTGGAGCGTAGGCTCCCCGCACACCCAGCGCTGTTTACTTGCCTTTTATACCTTTTATAGCTTTTATACCTTTTAGAAATATTTGTTTTATAAACATTACAAAATTCAGATTGAGGTGAGACCTCATTTATAAAACTTTAGAGACTTGGGAGTTGGCCTCAGCGATCCTTGTGGGTCCCTTCCAGCTCAGGACGTTCTGTGATTCTATGACCCCAGGGGAGAAGTGGTGAAAGGTGACAACCAGACCAAGATACGGTAGGTTTGCCAGGATGGATTTCAGTGCCGAAGTTTCCTCCTCAAGTCTACTTCAGTCATGAGCTAGGGACGGCCCTCTGTGTGGTAACAGGCCCTGGTGCTGAGGTCACAGTGTATCCCTCCTACATCCCTCTGCCGTGTGTGCCAGCTGTGGCCCAGTTGCTTGTAGGGCCGGTAGGAGGAGGACCCAGAGAGAGCATTGTGTCTATCTGGGGACATCCTGCTGCGATGGAGAGGCTGAGAGCCCTTAGCGGTGAGGGGCAGCGGGAGGGAGGTTGGGGGCTGAAGCAGGACCCTTCCCAGCAGGCTGCTCGGGGCTGCGTCTCCTGCGGAGATTTCTCTCCCAGCTGGCCAAGATCCTCGTCCCTACCAGCTCCAGCCCCCTGCAGCCAGCAGCACCGATGCCACCTGCTCCGTTCTTTCCTTCCTTCCAGGTGTGGGCTGCTGGCCCAGACGGAGCCGTCGCCAGGGCAGAGGCAGGGTGCCAGGGCCTGTCCCTGAAGCGGCCCCGACCTCTGCCAGTGTTGCGACTTTGCTAGAGCGCCTGCAAGACGAGGAGGTGAGCTGGGGGCTCCCCACCATGATGCAGGGGGGGGAGCAGGGGGAGCCTGTGCCTGGCGGCACCTCTGCCCTCCTGATTTTCTCGTCCAGAAGCCCCGGCACAGGGCAGTGCCCAGCCTGGAGCTTCTCAAGGAGCAGTCCTTTGCCCGGGCCCCATCCCAAGGTCCCCTGGCTGCCCAAGCCCAGAGGCCAGGGGCTTTGTGTCCCTCTTGCAGCTTCCCAGCCCCAGCAGCACATCCCTAGGCTCTGCAGAGTGAGGGCGGGCAGCTGGCGGCGCGCTGGCAGGAGGAGCAAAGCAAGTGCAACTGATCCCTATGGTGCTCTGTCCCCAGGGCGACAGAGCGCAGACTTACTGCGCGCTGGAGAGCGTCTTGTGGGGTGATGACAGCTGCCTGCAGTGCGGTGTCGTCAACCGGCTGCTAGCAGAGGTGTCCTGGGACCTGACAGCTGCCCAGGTGAGATGGTGCTCTTGGAAGGCGAGGGGAGCAGCCTGCCAGGCATTGGAGGGCAATGCGGAGCACACAGACAGGTTTTGCTGGCCTTGGGGCCCCACAGAGGCTCTTGAGCCAACCTGAGCCTCTTTTTCAGGGCGTGACGGAAGACACGAAGGTGGCTGCCAGTGACGTCCTGGTGGCTCTGGCCCGCTCCCACTTCAGCTTCGTGCTAGCCGAGCTCCTGGCCCAGCTGAATGCCCCAGGGCAGATCTCCAAGGAGTTCGTGCTCATCACTGTGGGCAAACTCCTCAGCACCAACGGTACGGTCCAGCACCACCATCCTCCCTCCCTCCCTCCCTCCCCTCCCGCTTTGGGCCAGGCTGGGAGAGCTGGGATAGAAAGGGATCCTTCCCCTCTCCACGCAAGCTGTGCTGAGCTGGGGGGCACCGTGGCTGCAGCGCCTCCTCCCTCGCTGCCAGTGCCGGCTGGGGGCTCTGACCGTGGCCACTCTCCGTTCTCTTCGCAGCCCTGCAGTGCATCCCCTTCATGCGCGTGGTGCTGTTGGGGCTGCGCACCGTGGTGGGCCAGTTAGGGAGCGGCCGGATCCTGCGTGCTGCCTGCGGTGGTGAGTGGACCCTGGGGAGGGGCAGGGGCAGGGGCAGGGCAGCCCCTGGCACCTCGCTCTGCTCTCAGAGCGGGCATGGCGGGCCTGAGCCCACGCTGCTGCCATCCCAAAGCGTTGGGGGCGCCTGGAAAGGGTGGGTGAAGGTTTCTGTGGGCTGGAGGTGAAGGTGCCCGGGAACCCCTGGGTCCCCTTCCTGGACTTTCCTACCGGGTTCATGTGCCCTGATGGCCAAAAATTGGGGAAGGGAAGGGCAGGGGAAGGCTGCAGAGGAAAATGCTGGAGCCTGTGAGGAGAAGGTGTCATGTGGAGGACAGAAACGGTGTGGCGTTGTCCTTGAGACACTTTGAGCACACAACTTGCCCTCGAACCTAGATCTGCTCCTGAGCTGAATGAACTGTGCTTCCAGCAGGCTGGCGGGGGGTGCCGCTCCCTTCCCTGCTCCAGGCTCCTTTTTCTCTTCTCTTGCTGCAGCTCTGGAGCAGTGCGCCAAAGTGGTCAACGTTTACATCTGCACCTGGAAAGGATGCTCCTTGCCTGCTCCGGAGAAGGAGCAGCTCTACGAAAGCCTTTCCCAGGTGTTCTGCTCTGTGGCAAGCACCTTGCTGGACTGCCAGGAGGAAGAGGTGAGAAGTGCTGCTTTCCCAGCTGGGGACGGCAGCAGGGATGTCCCCTGTGCCTGTGCCTCTGTCTGTGCCCAGCGGGCTGGCTGCAGAAGGCCCCAGCCTGGCTCTGTGCCTGGGGCTGGGGGCTCCCTGCGGGGAAGCAGCTGAAGCCCAGGGCATTTGGGCAGGCAGGGCGGGGGGTGAGGGGTGGGGAAAACCTCTCTGCCCTCCAGAGCAAGCCCATCTCCTGCAGGGCAGAAGGGCGAGGGCGAGGGAGAGGGAGGGAAAAAGGGCAAGGGGAAGGCCTCTCTGTGGGCAGGGCAGACCTTCAGCCTTTGACGCTGGGTCTCCCCGCTTCCTCTCCAGGACAAGCAAGCTGTCATCGGGGCCATGACTCCCTTGATGCGTGTCCTCCTGCACAAGGAGGAGCACCGGGAGCATGTCTGGGAGCAGCTCCTCTGGCTCCTGCACCAGTACCGGACGGTCCAAGACGCCTCCAGGGTGACCAAGGTGAGGTGTGGCGCAGGGCCTGGCACGGCCGTGGGGTCTGTGCAAGTGGCACGAGGGCTCAGGGAGCTGTGGCATGCAGGGAGGAGCCAGGGAGCTCCCCTTAGAGAAACGTGCAACAGGGAGGTCCGTGGAGATGCGAGGCTCCCTCGGCTCTTCAGGCAAGGGAAGAGCAACCGTGATGGGGCCAGGAGGGAGCCAAGAGGCAGTGGGGCCCACCTCTGGGAGATGGGAGGCTTTGCCCCCACCTCCCTGGGGGCTGTTTGCACGGGGAGCTGTGTTGCTGTGCACAGTCGCTCCATTCGCAAGTGGCTTGACATGGCTTCGGCCCTTTCTTCCTCTCCTGTTCTCTTGCAGAGCCTCCTTTCTTTCCTGGAGGCCCTGGAGCAAGCTCAGATCCCCGTCCCCAAGGGCAAGTGTCTTGCCATCAGCAGTGTCGTGTACAGCGAGGTAAGGGGAGCCTGCAGCCACACAGCCACAGCAATTCCCTCTTGGCTGAGTCTCGGGAGGACTCCAGAGCCCCGAGTCTTTGAATGCTGCTCAGCCGTGGCTCCTGGGTGGCTCCTGGGTGCTCCAGACCTGTGCGTGTGTCCCTGGGGATGCTGTGGGGTGGGCTGGGTTTTGACTGGGGGTCCTCTTGCCACCAGTGCCCAGGGAGATGAGAGCTGGCAGCGCCGTTTCTTTTCGGGCCCTCTCAATGCTGCTGGGACTTTCTCCACCATGTTCCCACCTTGTTCCCACAGCTCACTGCCGACACCACAGAGCACAGCCAGGAGCAGAAGGCAGAGCTGAGCCAGTGCATCCTGCTGCAAGGTAAGGAGAGGAGCTGTGGCGCTGCCCCGTGGTGTCCCGGCAGCTCTCTCCCAAAGCTGCTTGCTAATGCAGGATGGGATTTCCTCCCCACAGCTCGCATCTGCCCAGAGGAGACGATCCCGTTCCTGGAGTCCCAGCTGGGCCACGAGAGGGAGGCCGTGCGCGTGGCAGCCCTGGGTCTGCTCGGTGCTGTGGCACGCTGTGACGGTCAGTACTGCGGGGTCAGGGCTTGGAGGGCTCTCTTCCGCCCTCTGGGCTGTGCCTCCACGCATGCCTCACTGGATCTCTTGCAGAGCCCGCGACGGCAGAGAAGCTGCCCCAGGTGGTGGGGGCTGTCAAGAGTGTGTGCAGGGACCCCAGCATCCGGGTGAGCTGCTTTGGGAAGGGACTGTGCCGTCGGGGTCGGGGTTGGGGTCGGGGTGGGAGAGAAACCTTTTCCCTCAGGGCAGAGGCAGAGCCTGGCAAGGCTGGACTAGAAGGGCTCGGACCTAGCCAGCCATTTCCCTGCTCCTTCGTGTTTACCGGAGGGAGGGCTGACAGCCAGAGGTGATGCCGCTGCCAGCGTGGGCAGGTCCCCGTGGCCCTGTGCTAAGCACACTTGACCCCTGGCAGGTGAGGAGGGCAGTTCTGCACTTCATCAGGGAGCTGCTCAGTGCCAATGCCCAGAGCTGCTCAGCGTGGGACGTTGTGGGCTACATCTTCAGCGAGTTCAGCCAGAGCTCGAGCAGAAGGGTAAGGACAGCGTGCAACATCTTCCTTGGGGAGATCTGCTGCCAGGAGGCTGGCATGGGAGCCTGCTGGGGCCACACCTGAGCCTTCTGGGGCAGGAACTGAGAGCAAGCGGGGCGGGGGGTTCCCAATGTTGTCTTGCAGGCTGCGGGACTCCTGTCTGCCCAGGAAGCCCAGGAAGAAGGAGCTCTCCAAGGGCTGTGCATGGACGTCCTGGGGTCCCTGGACATCTCTGTGAGAGGGATGGCCAAAGTAAGTCCTCCTCTGTCCTGCTGCTGCTGCTCCTCTCCTCTCCTCTCCTTCAGGCCATTTGTTCCTAGCCCCCTTTGCACACCTGAAAGCTCTGCCCCAGCATGCTCTGAAGTGCCCAGGGAGATGCACACCATCCTCCCCATCTCTGAGCTGAGGCAGAAATGCTGACGGGCTGAATTGTCTCATTGCCTACAGCTCCTGTGGCCGAGGCTGCTGATCTATGTGATGCCAGCCAAGTACACAGGCATGCTGATCCCCCTCTCGCGCTGTCTCCACGCCCTGGCTGAGAGCAATGAGCTGACAGCAGGGCACGAGCATCACGAACTGGATCCCGATGTCCTCAACGCCCTGTTGCAAGGTAGGAGTAGCAACTCCCCCACGGAGCTCTGCTTCCCTCTGGGTCTGCGTCCTGCAGGGACAGCAGCGTGGCAGGGCACAGTGTGGCTCGGCATCTCACCCAGCATTTCTTTCTCCCCACAGACACGACGCTGACTCCGCACAACTTGCTGGCTCGCCTGCTGGTGGTGGCGGGGTCTCCTTTTGCGGGCAGTGAACTCCAAGCTGCTGCCTTGCTGGTGATGCAGAGCCTCCACAGCAGGATCCACGCAGCTGTGGGGGCCACGTGGAACACCGAGATTCCCCTGCTGCTGCAGTACCTCCAAGGTAAAGTGCTGCTGGGGAGGGGGAGAGGGAGGGAGGGCATGGCAAGTCAGCTTCCCAGCATGGCTAAGGGGAATCCCCGCCTGGTGCCCAGAGCTTGTTCTGCTGCCGTTTCGTTTCCCTGCCCGGGAGCCAGCACTGAAGCTGGGGTCCCACAGCGATCCATTCGTCCCGGCGCATGGATGGGGCCCTTCCCGTCCCCTTGGACAGCGTGCTGGTCCTGGTGGCACCTCCATGGCCCTGCTGGGGCGGTGCTTGTGGGGAGGGACGGATGGCCGCCTCTGGAGCGGGTGCAGCCACCAGCTTCCCTGGGCCAGGCCAGCTTGGCAGCAGCTCTTCGTCTGTGGCTTGGTCCCAAGCAAGGTTTTTTGTCTTCTTCCTACTTTCTAGGAGGAAAGGGGAACATCCCAGACGCTGCCGAGTGGGAGCGCCGTCTGCTTCAGGTACTGCAGCCCTGGGAGGCGTAGCATAGAGAGGTGGCAGGGGTGTTTCCCAGGCACCCCACTCCTCCTCCTCCTCCTGCATCTCTCTCTCTCCCTTCTCCCACGGGCCACAGCTCTCGTGGAAGGCCACTCTGGAGTGGCCGCGTACCTTGGCACTGCCTCTTCCTGCTTGTCAAAGGCCAAGAAGCATTCGCTTCCTCTCCTGTTCTCTCCTGCAGTTCCTGAGGGCATCCCTGGAAACCATCGGGGACGACGCCTGGATCAAGCGCCTGAGCTGTGCGCTGAGCCAGCGGCTGGACAGCTCTCCCAGCAGCTCTGGGGAGAAGGTCGGTTCCCTGCCCGGCTCTCCCCTGGCAGCGCAGCCACGGGGCCCCCGCCCACGTGCGGGGCTGGGGCTGGGGCTGCAGGCGGTGCTTGCCCACGAGGGCTGTCTGCGCTGCTTCCCCTGGCCCTTGCCCCCCGCGGCCTTTCCCTCCTCTCGTGCTGAGCGGGGCTGGCGAAAGCCCATCCCTGCGTCCGGGCTCGGCTGCTCCCCGTGCGCTGGCCCCGTTGCAGCACGCCAGGCTGTTGCTGCATCTCGGGCTCGGCTTGTTCCCTTGCAGGCTTTCCTATACAAGGCTCTTGGGACGACGCTGGCAGCTTGTCAGGAACTCCCACACGTCCAAGAGAACCTGCTGCAGCATCTGACGAGAGCACAACCTGAGGAGCCATCTGAGGCCCAGGTGAGCTTCCCTGCTCTGTCCCCGGGCCCTGCTCCAGGCCTTTTCCAGCTCCTCATCGCTGCCCGCCACTGTGGCTGGCCATGACTGAACGGCTGGGCCCGTGCCGACTGTCCCTCGGTCTCTTGTTGCAGGGAATCATTTCTCTCGTCTGCCAAGCCGCCGACAGCCACTTCGGCCTGGTCTTGGAGACTTTAACAACATTTGCTGCCACCTTGTGCAGTGGCCGGGGCTTGAGGGTTTCCAGAGGCAGGAAGGTGAGGTGTTTGGGGTTTCCCTCCCTGGCTGTCTTCCACCTGCTTTTCATCGTGGGCTGTGGGGGGCCATGGGGCGGACGTCTCACAGCATCTCTTGCAACGCAGACGCCCCAGGCCAGCAGGAGAGCTGAGGCCACTTGCAGGGCTGTCATGCTCGCCCACAGCAGCATGGCACTGCGTGCCTCCAAGGAACAACTGCTCGCCCACGTGGAGGCAGACATCGCGGGCAACATCCTGCTGCTCTCCATCTCCAGCAGCCAGGTGAGAGCTCGGGGCGTGTAGGGGCAGGGCTGCTGGGTGCAGTCCCAGCTCCAAGCCCTCCGTGCTAGGGCATCCTGAGAGGGGCCGTCTCTTTCCAAAGGTCCCCCGAGGAATGGTTTGTCCCAGCAGGAAGATCCAAGCCCTTCCCCTAGATTTCCCCCGCGTGCACATGTTCCTCTTGCAGTCTGTGGCCCTTCCTCCAGTTCAAAGGGTTTTCTTCTCTCTTGGGCCCCAGAACTTGCAGACCAATCTTGCCGTGGCACAGAGCATCCTTGAGGTCGGCTGTGCCGTTCAAGCTGTGGGGAACTTGGGCAGCTTCCATCCTGTCCTGAAGCAAAAGCTGCTGCTGATCCTGCAGGTGAGTGCCCAGAGCCAGGGCTGTCTTGCAGGGGAGTTTGGGGCCATGCCAGGAGGCAGGAAGGTCTCCCTCAGCCGCGTGGGAGCTCCTGAGCTCCTGGAGCCGTGTCCCCAGCTGGTGGGGGGGCCCTTGAGTGCTGGCAGGCAGTGGCCATGGCTGGGCAGCCGCTGGGGAGCTGCTCCATCCTGCAGCGCCCCTGTGGGAGCTGCGGGAGCGCTGCAGCCAGTGTCTGGCAGGAGTGCCCGTCCCCGGGCAGGGTGCGAGAGCTCTCCTGTGCCCAATGCCCACTTGGCAACTTTCTCTTGCAGAACTTGATGAAGACGACTCTCTGGGACTTCCCGGCAGCGTCCCTGCACCTGAAGGTGATTCTGGCCCTGGAGCAGTGGAGGTAAGAGCGAGGAGCTGCGGGGGCTGTGAGGCGGGATGATGTTCCTCCTGTCGGGGAGCTCCCAAAGAGCAGCACTCCCTGCCATAGCCTAGGCTGGCTGGATTTGGGGCTGTCAATGAGGACAAGCCCAGATGCCATGTGACCCCCTCTGCAGAGCGCTAGGAACTCCTCTTATATTTTTTTTCCCTCGTCTTCTTTTTTCCCCTTGCCAGCAAGCTGGAGATCTCGTTCAGCAGCGAGGAAATTTTCAGCCTGCTGTCTGACTGCTGCCAGGCCATCCTGCCACTTCCCTCAGCGGCTGAGCAGATTGGGAAGATCAGGAACGCAGAGCAGGCAGTGCTGCAGCTCCAGGTAACTTGCTGTCCCTTCCCAGCACAAGCTGTGTGCTGGCAGCAGCCGTGATCCTGCATCTCCGTCCCTCTCCTCCGCTTTCAGTCCCTGCACATGGCCACGAAGGCTCTGGGCCGGCTCATGGCAGTCCTGCTGAAGACAAAGCCAAGCCCTGTCGACTTTGTAGACATCGCCGGGGTGAGTATCCATGGGGTGCTGGAGGCCAAGAAGTGGGCCCTGCAGGGGGGAAAGCCAAGAGGCAGCCCCTGGCTGGCTGCAGCAAGGAGCTGGCTGCAGGGAAAAGCTCCTGGGTGGGAGCAGGTGCGTCTGAAGAGAGTGGGGCAGTGCCGCAGGGCAGGCCCTCAGGGCAAGTGCCAGGAAGGGAGGGAAATGGAGAGGGATGGCGGGAAGGGAAAGATGCCCCTTGGCAGACAGAGCTGCTCTGCCCCAGGTCCTGTGGTTCTGGCTCTCCTCGGACAAGCCGTGGGTGTGCAAGAGGGCCCTGCAGGTCTGCGCCCAGCTGCTGGAGGACTGCAGAGATGGAGTGGCTTTTCAGGTGAGGAAGGATGCCCAGTGTGTGCCCCCAGCTGCAAGGGGGCCTGGCAGGGCAGCTCTGCCCAGCTGTGCACGGGCTGTGGGGTCCCCCAGCGCCCAGCCCCCCTCTGCCCAGTCCTGGCCTGAGCAGGGCGCGGCTGGGAGACACAAGGGAGTGCTGGGGCCAGCTCCAGCCCTTGTTCTTCCTCTCGCCCCTGCAGACAAGAGGTGCCTACCTGCCGTTTGGCGCCTTGGCGGGATTGCTGGGGCCTCTGACCTGTGAGCCCATGAGCAGCTCCCGCCAGCTGGCCGCTGCCTGCCTCAGCTCCCTTCTCCACATCCAAGGTGAGTGTGAGTAGAGCAGGCGCCTGCCGGCCCTCTGCCCCGCCTGGCCCTAGCGGGATCCCCCGCGGGGGCTGGGCCCTGCCGCCAGGAGGGAAAGGAGAGGCACGGTGCTCGGCTGCTGTCCTGTCCCCAGCCTGTTCGTCCTCCACCTCCCCAGCCAGCTGGGGAGGGATCCTGGCAGAGGGCCACCCAGTGCCACCTGCCACCAGCGTTTCCTGCAGCCGGGGGCACTCAGAACCTGGCAAGGGCCATCCCGCTGCAGCGAGTTCAAGACTGACTCCCCTGGCCTTCAGCAAAGGCTGGGAAGGGAAGTTCAGTTGCCCTAAGTGGGACTTCCCTTTTCTCTCCGTGCTCGTTCCAGCCAAGGCCACGAACAGGCTGTTGGAGACAGACGACCCTGCGAGCTTGTGTGAGGGGCTGAGTGCTCGCAGCGACGCCTCTCAGCAGCTCCGGACCTCCATCCAAATCGCAGAGGTAAGGAGTGCCCTCAAGCTTGCCTTATGTTCTGAAGAGCTGGAGCGGAGCCGTGACGGGATCTCGATCTCTCCTGGTTCCTGCATCTTTCCAGATGGTTTGCAAAAACGTCCCCAAAAAACAGGCTGCAGACTTCATGAATACCATCCAGGAGCCCTTCCGGCGTGCCAGAGGAAGCCGCATGCGTGCTGCAGGCAACTGGATGCTCACCTTTCTGGAAACCTGGGGAAAGGACATTGGTCCAGACGTAAGAGACCTTTTTCCATGCCTTGGACTTTCTCGCTTTGGCTGTCGCACCACACATCTTGCCGGTTGTGTGCTAAAGAAGCTCTCGGGGCAGAGTCAGGGCTCGGGCAGGGTGCTAGGGGTGAAATTTCGCCTTCGAGCGTGAAAGAGTGGCAAGGGAGCAGGCGTGGCTCATGGGCTGAACGTCCATGTTCCCGTGCCAAGACGTTCTTTCTCCCCTGCTTCTTTCAGGTGCGAGGAATCCTCTCCACCCTGCACAGCCGCACAGAGTCCATGCTGGAGCCCTCGTGCATGTACTTCGTGCACCATGCGGTGCTGATCCTGGCCCGCCATCACGAGAGGCTCACGATGAACGTCATCCTCAAGAAGTTTGTGCCTCTGGACAGGTACATGCGCTCCTCCCTTTCCTGCTGGGCTCAGAGAGCCGTAGCTTGCCTCCCCTCCCCTAGGGCGATCCAAGGGAAGCAGCAGCTCCTTGTCCTCCACCCAAATGTAGGAGGTGTGCTTGTAGCACTGGGAACAGAGCAGACGGGCTCATGGTTGCACATCTCTTGGCAGAAACACACTGGAGCTGTGGAGGACTCTGGGGAGAGACAGCATTGGCCTCAGTGTGCTGAAGCGCTTAGCGAGGAAGCTGAGGAGAGTGGGAGACGACAGCTGCCAGCCCAGCTCGTCCAGTGGCAGGCTGCACGCCCACCAGCCTTCTGCGGAGTCCTTGACTGTACGTTCAGAGGCTTTGTGCCTGCTCCCCCACTCCCAGTCCGAGGGCGAGGCGTTGGGTGCCCTTTGCAAGCGTCTCTGGACACTGCCAGGACACTGCTGCAGTGTCTCAGCGGTAGCAGTTCGGGACGGCCGGCACAGCCGCTGCGCCCAGGCTGCAAGGCTGTCCCGGAGACGGGGCGTGCAGGCAGTAGAAGTGCCCCAGGCAGCCAGCGGGCCGGGGCTGGCAAAGCTCTTGTTTAACGGGTGCTTGTCGGGTGCTCTCATTTCCCTGCAGGTCACCCGTGCCATCTCCGAAATGGTGTCCGTGCAGTCCAAGGAGGGGGTCCAGAGCTTGCTTCCCTCCCTCCTCCCTGGGCTCCTGCTGCAGCTCAGCAAGGCACTGGGGAAAGAGATTCTGTTTGCGCCCCTCAGCCCCTGGAGAGGGCACGCTGAGGATCAGCGGCAAGAGGGCAACGTGTGCAGGTCAGGAGCAGGAGGGGCAGGGCAAGGGGGGCTTGAATGGCCTAGCCAAGCATGCTTGTGTGTTCCCTGTCCTGCTTTGTGGCCCAGCTCTGGCCACGGGCAGCTGTGCTTTCTTGCCGTGGAGGCTCTGCCAGTGTAATTCCCGGCCTGTCAGGGTGCACCAAGCATTGCACTCAGGCGGTGCTGCCTCCCTGGGGAGCTTTGAGTGCTCAGATCAGTCCCCCCACAACACAACACAACACAACACAACACAACACAACACAACAGGGCACCTTGCCGCAGGGCGCTCTCTCCTCCCTGCCATCGACTGATCCTGGGGGCCCTGGCTTTTGTCCTTCTGTAAGCGGCTTGGGGCATTGCCAGGGCTAAAAAAGACAGTTGCTTTTCTGGCCAGCTTTTGCCACAGACTTGGTGGCTACAGAGCGTTGCCTCTGCGCTTCTTTGCCTCTCCCTCCCTCGCTGGAGCTTGGGATGAGCGAAGAAGCGGCTCGGCTCGTAAAGCTGCTGAGCATTCTTGCTCTGCTAAGTCCCTGTAAGTTCTGTAAGTTCCCTGCGGAACACTGCTCTGATCTGAGACTTCTCTGGCTCTTGCTCTTTCCCAGGCCTTTCTGTGAAACTCTCCTGTCAGTGCTGAGCAAATGCGCTGAGAAGAGCTGGCTGACGCCGTTCTGGAGGCAGAAAATGTCGGCGCTGCTGGAGAGCCCCCGCACTTATGCCGAGGGCATGTGCCTCCTGACGAGGTGAGAGCCCCAGGGCAGCATCTCGCCTTCCTCTCGGTGGCTGCGCCCAGGGGAACGGCTGCCGGGGCCCGTTCCTGCGTGCTCGGGGAGCTCTGTGCAGGGCAGAGCAGCGCCTGTGCTGGAGGAGGGGAAGTCCGCGGTGGCAGCCTGCAGCCTTCCCACTTGACCGGGCGTTGCCCCTTGTGCTCTTTGTGCAGTGTCCTGCTCCGTGCCCAGCTCATCTCCCAGGAGCTGATTGAGATCTTCTCCCAGTGGCTGCGCCACCCATCAGCAAACCTGCTGCTGACGGCCATGGCTTTCTTTGCTGAGGTGAGGCAGTAGGAGGGCAGGGGGGCTCCCCAGGGCTTTTCTGAAAGAGATTGCTGCTTGGGCTGCCTCTTGCTGTGGGGAGAGATGAGAAGCAAGCGTCCCCATCGAGACTCCTTTGTGCGAAGCCTGCTTGTGTGCTGTGCCTGGGCTGAGGTTGTGTCCTGACTCTCGTGGCTGTGTTGCTCTGTTGCAGCTGATGAAGGAGCCGCCTCTTGAGAAGAGGAACGTCCTGAAGACTCTGCGTGTCTTGGCTGAGAAAGCACAGCACCGAAGCAGCACCATAAGGCAGCTGGCAGCGAGAGCTCTGGGCAACGCAGCCGGCAGCATGCCCGTGGAGGTGAGACGGATTTCCCTGCGCTCTGACTGCAGGGATATTCCCCTCCCTAGCAAGACCCCGGGGGAGAGCTGCTTCAAGGGTCTGGACAGAGCGGCAAAGGCAAAAGCAGGGCTCCTTTCTCTCATTCCGCGCTCCTTTCCCTGATGCCAGCAGGGCTGCCGAGGGCAAATTGGGTGCCAAATGTCAGAGGAACAGTGCTTTGGAGCAGAGCTGTCAGCCACGGAAAGAAAGAGCAGCCCTTGGAGGCAGGGAGAGCCCTAAGTCTGTGCACGTCTTTGCCTTTGCAGGTGCGGAAGCACGGGAGACAAGTTGTCCAGGTGCTGCAACAGAGCCTGGCGGACACTGCCTGTCCCGAGGTGGTTGCAGAAAGCATGCTGGCGCTAGCTGAGCTCGTGAAGGTGCTGCAGGCGGTGAACTTGGGATCGGCCTTTGAAGACATCGCCAGGTCCACCAAGATGTTCTTCGAGTCTGTGAGTGAAGCCAGCTCTTGCTGCCGCTGCTCTGAGAAGCGTGGGGTGGGCAGGGGCCTGCACGCGCCGCCTGGATGGCCTCTGCTGGCTGAGTGCCTGCTTCGGCCTCGTTACCCAGCTGACAAACGGCTTTCTGCTTGCAGGAAGAAGAGTACCTTCGCTACTCGGCCTTGCGCCTCTATTCAGTCCTGGCCTCCTCAGCCTCGAGCAAGCGGTCGTTCTTTGCCGGAGAAGTGGCGGAAACATGGGTCAGCCTTTTCCTGCACCTCCGGGATCCCGACTTTGCAGTTGCCAGCGTAAGTGCCCTTGGAGCTTGCTCCCAAAGCCCCAGAAAGCTGCGTGGCCACGGCCGAGGCATGGCTGGCTGAGCTCCCTGGGCAGGTCCCACACACGCTGCTGGAGGAGGAATGACGGCACAACTCTCTTCTTCAGATGTGCAAGATCACCTTCAGGCTCTGTGTTCCATTTATGGGGCTGAGGCGGCCACGGGAGATCATCTCTCTCTGCAAGAGGCTGGGTGCACAAGAGCTGCAGGATGCGCTCTGCACTCACCTGGTAAGTAAGCTGTGCTCCAGCGAGACGTCAGGGCCCTGCCCTGGCTCCCTCAGGGGAGTGCGCGGTGCTGCATGTGGGGCTGGCCGGGACTGGGCCATGGCCATCCCTCCTGGCCACCCACTGCCTCTCCCCTTCCCCCTGTGGCCCACCCAGCCAGCTGGCTGAGGGGCAACAGAAGGCATCTTTTTGGACCCCCGTGAACTTGTGCCTTCCTGTCTTGCCCTAGGCCAGATACGCCCCGCCAGAGTTGGAGAGGCTCCATACCGTAGCCAGGAGAGGCTGCCTAGAGAACGGGCAGAGGCTGCACCCATCGACCTTCGAAATCCCTGGTGAGAGCCCGCACTGGAACTTACCGCTCCCTTTCCTGACCAGAGAGCTGTAGGGGCCTCTGCTTTCTCTTTCCTCCGGGCCCTGCCTTTGCAGAACAGGGCAGACACCATGCTGTGTCCCATGGCTGAAGATGGGGTAGACAGGGACGCAGGGCTTTTCCTTGCAACCTGCCTCCGAGTTCCTTCAAAAGCTTGAGCAACCATCAAGGAGTGATCTGGAGAATCTGGAGAGCAGCTCCAGGGTGTCAGGGGGCACAGCTGCCTGGGCTGGCTGCTCACAGCTCTGTCTGTCTTGTTGCAGCTTTCCAGGGCCGGAGCAGCACTGAGGACACCGGAGTGAGGAGAAGGCAGACAAGGCCCTCTGTGTCTGTGGTACCCTGTGGGCAATAAAACTCTGTACATGTACGTGGTCTCACCGCTCGCTGTGTCCTTGGGGAAATCCAACTCAACGTGGCCTCCCCTCTGTGGACAAAGGGTCTTTTTCGTAGGGCCAGGGGGGCACGTTGGGGCCTGTGGGGAAAAGCCTGGCAGGATGCACAAATGGGTTCTGCAGGAGCTGGTGGACCTAACCGTGAGGCCTCCCAGGGTTATCCAGCAAACGTCACCGCGATCAGGAGAGGCTGCTGGCAAACGGGAGAAAGCACACGTCGCCCCTCCAAATTTGTTTCTCTAAAACTTCCCTTAAAAAGAAACTGCTTGCCACTCCTATTCCCAACGTGTCCATTTCGTGAGGAGCGCAGAGAACGTATACTACTGTAACCTGGATCTTAACTTTTTCCCCCAGGTTTCACTAAAGCACCCTTTGCACCCTTTGCACCTTCCAGGAACTCATCTTGGGCATCTTTGGAAAACTGCTCTCCAAAGCAGTTCTCAACATGCGCTTCTGGGATGGTTTTACTCGGGTGGGCAGCTGAGCTCCACCACAACCGCTCTCTCACTCCCCCTCCTCCAAGAGGAACAGGGAGAAAAGAGGATGCAAAGGGCTTGAGGGTTGAGATAAGGACGTGGAGATTGCTCAACAATGATCGTGACAGGCCAAACAGAGTAGGGAGACAGTAACATTCATTGCCTATTCCTAACAAGCTAGAGAAGCAAGAAACAAAGGAAAGAAACCCAAAATGCCATCCACCCTCTTCCACCTCCTCCTCCCAAGCAGCGCAGGGGAATGGGGGCTGTGGTCAGTCTATGGCACTTCACTGCTCCTTCTTGGTCACTCTTGTCCTCTGTGCTGTGGAGTCGCTCCCATGGGATGCCATCCTTCCCAAACTGATCCTGCGGGGGCTTCCCACAGGCAGCAGCTCTTCCAGAACTGCTCCAGGTATGGGTCTGTACCACAGGGTCCATCCCTCAGGAGCAAACTGCTCTAACCTGGGTCTCCCACGGGCAGCAGCTCCTGCCAGACCCCTTGCTCCTTCCTGCATGGGCTCCTCTCCACGGTCTACAGGTCTAGCCCGGGATCTGCTCCGGCAGGGGTCTTCCACAGGCCACAGCCTCTGTCGGTGCAGGGCCACCTGCTCCACTGGGGAATCCTCCACGGGCTGCGGCGTGGAACCCTGCTCCACCGTGGTACTCCACGGGCTGCAGGGGGGCAGCCTGCTTCACCATGGTCCTCACCACAAACTGCATCTGGGACATATGTGCGTTTCTCAACACTGTTTTTCATCAAACAGCATCAAGCAGACCCAGAGGTTTTTCAAACGCATGAGGGGCAGGCGTTGAGCTCTGCTCTCTGGGGACAGCGACAGGACCTGAGGGAACAGCATGGAGCTGAGCACTGGAACAGGCTGCCCAGGGAGCTTGTAGAGTCTCTTCCTTTGGAGATATTCCAAAGCTGCCTGGATGCAATCTAATCCTCTGTGACATGCTCTAGGTGACCCAGCTTGAGCAGGGGCATTGGACTAGAGGATCTCTGGAGGTCCTTTCCAGCCTCAGCTGTTCTGTGATTCTGGGATTCTGGGACAGGGGTGGCTCAGGCTGGCTGTGAGGAAAAGGTGCTGCACCGAGAGGGTGGTCGGGCTCTGGAAAAGGCTCCCCAGGGCAGTGCTCACAGCACCAAACCTGTTGGAGTTCAAGAAGTGTTTGGACAACGCTCTTGGACACAGGCTCTGATTTTTTGGGTGGTCCTTTTGTTATATATGGAGTGGTAATTCGTGTTGAGAAAATGGTTGATATTAATAAAGAAGGGGGAGATCTGGGAATGTGGCCATGGGGGTCAGAAAGCCCCATGGTTGATGATAACATCAGACTCTTAACGATGTGGCCATCAGGAATGTAAAAGAGTTTAGAGGGAACAAAGAAGGGTGATTCAGGAGACTCCATGCAGTCTTGGGTTCCTTCTTCTCCAGCCATTAAGGCATGGAAGTTTCTGGGTGTTTGCTGTTGCTGTTATATGCAAAGTTGTTTCTTGTTCCCCGGCTGGTTCTCTTGTTCTCCAGCCATTAAGGCATAGATGTTTTTGAGTGTTTGCTGTTGTTGTTATATTCAAAGTTGTCTGACCAATGAAAAGTTGTTTGGAAAAGAACTGCTGTGGAGAGAAGGGTATAAGAGGGGAGCCTGCCCTCAAGATAAAAAAAGAGGCAGCATGATGAAGTTACATCAATAAAGAAGCAGGAAAAAGAAGTGAAGAGGAACAGGCTGGGAGAATGGAGACCAGGACGGGAACAGGCACTTTGATTGCCTCATGAAGATAGGTTCGGACAAACTCAGCAAACCGCTCAGAGAAGCTCGTCGCTGGAAATAGGTGACACTAGAGCTGGAGAGAAGCTTGACCTGAGAGAAGCGGACCTGCACACACAACTGCCTCTCCCTGGTAAGCAGTTGTGCATTGTGGGGAATCATACGTCCTTAGGAACAAAGACTGTCCTGGTAACCTTACAGTTTATTCTCCTTATTAACAATCAGAGAGTTTATGAGCCTGAAATATGGGACCAAACTGAGGTCAAGGTGTGGGAGTCTGAAACTAGAAACAACAAGGTTGCAGTGGGATTGCTTGGCACCTGGCGAGCAGTCTCTGAGGCCTTACAGAGCCGTGTGGGGCCACAGTTAGAAATGTTGCCTCACTGTTTGCCAGACAGTGAGGGAGCTGTGGGCTCCTTTATTGATCCTTCTGCTACGCCATGGGCCCCGCTGCTGCTACAGCCATCGCAGGTCTTTGCTGCTACACCCCTGGTGACCTGGACGTGCCTTTTGACCCAGGCCTATCGGCCTTGAAAAGGAGATGGATATGCTTTTCTTCAATCTAGGAAGAACGACGGGATACATAAGGCCTGAAGACTGAGTTGCTTGACAACTTAAAGCAAGACATATTGTTCAAAAGGAATGGAAAATGGAGACTGTTAAGTTATGGAACTTAAAGGATTGTTTGTTACCTATCCTGATTGTATGTATGTATAAGCATACTCGGGTTATTATGTAAAGCAATGTTCTGAATACATGTATTTAGAATGTTTGATGTTTGTGTGTGCGTGTTGGTGGAGCGTAGACTCCCTGCACACCCAGCGCTGTTTACTTGCCTTTTATACCTTTTAGAAATATTTGTTTTATAAATATTACAAAATTCAGATTGAATTGAGACCTCATTTATAACACCTGGAAAGGAGTTCTTTCTTTGGGTATTCAGGATTTTAGCTACACTGACAAAGGCAGTTTCAAGCTTTTTCTCATGAACATGCTCACCGATTGTTCAGTCAGTAAACTCTGGGCTTATTTCAAAATCACCTTACTGAAGTTCAACTGTTCTCTAGGGGGAGTAGTAACTCATTGCAGGACACTAAAACTGTCTGGCTAGACTGGGCAGACGTGTGAATCAAACTAAGTGTTTTGTAATCCAGTCATTTGTGGAAATCCAGAGTTTAGGGACCTTCATGCCTGAGCTACATCTCATCTATGAGAGTGACAAGGACAGAGAGTTCAGAAAAATCCAGTGTAGACTTAGGATAACAAAACTAGATGTTCGCATAACTAAAGGTTGTGAAATACAAAAGAAAAACATCACTTGCTGTATCAAAGGTCATAATTTCCACAGATGATAAAATCATGTTAAAAAATAAAATAAAATAAAAATAAAATCCTTTTTTTTCTGAAAGGTAAAAAGAAAAGAGTAAGTATACTTTTTTTTTTTTTTTTTTATTGTGGGGGAGTGAAAGGGGTGAGGAAGTAGAGAGGGTATAGGGGGAGATAAAATCCTTCCAGTTTACTTTTCCTATTTTTCATTTGTGTTCCTCTCCACAATTTTAAATCAACACCATCATTCTTACAAGAAGAAAAATATGTTGTCTAAATAAGATGATAAGGCTCTCATAATTCACTTGTAGCCTTTTCTCTGAGATTTATTGGGTTTTCTATTACATGCTGAGATAAAAACCACATTCCACTTCTTGCTCTTTGCATGATACACTACAAGATGTATGCTGATAATAGTGTGGATCCTATATTTTGACAGAGGACCAAGAAAATAATGACAAATGTTTTCATGTGACTTCTATAAACTGCTTGACCATTTTCTTCTGCCATTTTGCTATGTGCAATTTTCAGTGGTCATTCCCATGTTACTTATGTTTATTTTAGACATTTCTGGCCTAGAAATTTGTTGGTTTAAGTAAATTTATTTATTTATTTATTTTCTGGAACTCATCTCTCCTGTACTCTGCTTCTTGAGAAATGTTCCTCACCTACCTGGTCTTTTGGAAACAGCACATTTAGGAACTGGAAAGTTACTAATTTTCATAGTTTCTAGTTTCAGTTTGTTATATATGGAGTGATAATTCGTGTCGAGAAAGTAGTTGATATTAATAAAGAAGGGGGAGATGTGGGAGTTTGGCCATGGGGGTTGGAAAGCCCTGTGGTTGATGATAAGATTAGACTCTTAACATGAGGCCACCAGCAATGTAAAAGAGTTTAGAGGGAACAAAGAAGGGTGATTCAGGAGACTCCATGCAGTCTCGGGTTGCTTGTGCTCCAGCTGTTAAGGCATGGAAGTTTCTGGGTGTTTGCTGTTGCTGTTATATGCAAAGTTGTTTGACCAATGAAAAGTTGTTTTGAAAAGCCGTGGGGAGAAGGGTATAAGAGGGGAGCCTGTTCTCAAGATAAAAAAAAAAAAAAAAGGCAACACAATGAAGTTATGTCATCAATAAAGAAGTAGAAAGAAGGAATGAAAAGGAACAGGCAAGCAGGACGGAGACCAGGACGGAAACAGGCACATTGATCACCTCATGAAGATAGCTTCAGCCAAACTGAGCAAACCGCTCAGAGAAGCTCATACTGAAAGTCACTGGAAATGGGAGCACCAGAGCTGGAGAGAAGCTCAAGCTGAGAGAAGTGGACCTGCGCACACAACTGCCTCTTGCTGGTAAGCAGCTGCACATTATGGGGAATCATACGTCCTTAGAAACAAAGACTGTCCTGGT